AAGCACAGACCACCCAGGCTCCATGCTTCACTCATGTTTCACTGTGACTGAATAAAAAAGAAAAATAAACAGTGGTCTCACCTCTTGACTGATGCTGCAGGCACCTCCGAAAAGAAAGGCAACGTCTCCAGCCACGGCTAAAGCATGGCTGTGTCTGTGGATTTAAAGAAACACACAGAAATAGAAGCGGGTCAGACATCATCTTCACTGAGCTTAGTATCATGTGTGCAGCAGTTCTTCACCAGGTTGTTTTTTACCAATATGATGAACTTTAGGCCGCCTTTGAACCTTAGTCTTTAATGTCATCTTACCCATTGTCTCTGTCTCTCTCCTAGTTACCTTTTTGGACCCTTTCCTGGAAACATTTCTGTTTGGAGACTCACCTGCCCGTGGACTGTAGACACTCCCAGCAATGCCGATTAACCTGTAAGGGAAAGACCTCAGCAAACTTGCCTGCCCGCTGTTCATTCCCAGAGTGTCTGAATTTCCCCCTGTTGAGCTGATGCTCCTCTTAGCCCCAAAACCACCTCTGAGATATGTAAGGCAAAGGTCCAGACTCAGAATACTCACAGTCATATTCCTTCTCCTTTGGAACTACAGTTAATGCAACTCATTTCCAGCAGAGCTCGTCTGCACATTGTTGTTATAAAGTCTCTCTCTCTCAGTCCCACTGGCAGTCATCAATAACCATTGCCAACTGTAATAAGCTACAAAAAACTGCCAATAGCTGTTTGAGTCTGCTCACTGAGTCCATTTTGAGCACAATTATTACAAGAATGAATTATGATGAGGTGGATGAAAATGTTGGCACAGCATTAAGTTGGGCATTCCTAAACTTAAGACTTTTACTTATTACAAGCTCATTTTGAAATGTAAAAAATCTTCTATAGCCCACCAAAGTCTTTATTCACATTAGCATAAGAAGACATATTTTCTGCTTCATGTTGTCATTGATTCCTTTTGATCTTCTGATGTTTGGTTTGAGGCAGATTCTTTATCAACAGCTTTACTTTGGCCAATAGTGCTGCATTTTAGCTCTTACACTAATGAGCTATATTAAAGAGATCAGGAGCCAAAATAAGCCAGAAATCAAGAATAATGTAAAATTTGTGGTAATGTTTCATTTTTAAATCTTTTAAGTTTGTGTTATGTAATATTTCTGTTTTTATGGTGATAAAAATTAAATTACAAATTGAAAAAATGACCTCTTGCGGCCCACGCCATCTAAAATCACTGGACTGGACTTATGGTATATAAACTGACGTAGCCATGAGTGACATCATCCACTGATATCCACTGAAGTACCCTAATGCCTAAATTA